ATGATAACAGCAAAAATTGCAATATGAGCACTGGTAAAAAATGGTTACTGAACACAGATGTCCTGAAGAACACATGGCACAGTGGATAAAGGTGCTGGTTAGATCCAGTGACAGGACCTAAAGAGTGTGAGTTTAATACACAGTTAAGGCAGTGGAGAACTTGCAGAGGGGAATTAACAGGAGATAACTGATAACTGACATGGCACGAGGAACTAGAACAGTCTACCTCAGTGAGGGTTCAATTCCAACCACCTGAAGAAGGCCGAAGCGTACAACGGCTGAAACGTTGTAATAAATATGGCGACAAAGATGAAGTCAATAGTCCAAATAATGTTCATTTTAGTCTATTCTTCACTTTTAACGTAAAAACATTATTAAATTCGCACACGAATTGTATCGAAAAAAACACGTTGACATGTCACGTTTCAGAGCATATATATATATATATATATATATATATATATATATATATATATATATATATATATATCATGCATTTCAGTCACCTGTGAAACAAAATGACATGCTCAAACGCCACCTATTTAAAGGCGCTAAAAACTTGTACTAACACAATATTTCATTCAACTCTGAATGTATGTTATATGCTTTTTTTATACAATCAAGTTATTGGGCTATTTTTTATTATAAAATTATACTTGTTATCACTAAATTTTGATGTATTAATTTTTTTAATATACTTGAATATTATGTACATTCTGATATAAATTAACGTTATGCATTTTTTTAATCTGATTTTTTTCTCATTTCCTTGTTGATTCCTGTTAACGTTCTCAGCTGACATGAAGTGAAAAGATTATATTGAATCCATTGCTAGATCTGCTGCTAAGAAAACCGCTTCACTGTGTCATGCGAGACAATTTTTCTCTCCATAATCTATCTTACATATCTATAAGTCTACCATTCACGCATGCTTGGAATATTGATACTACATTTGGTCTAGTTCCACTTGTATTTACCGTAATCTCTTCGATAAACTCGAAAGAAGAATCAGCAATATTCGTAGTTCTAGACCTGCTGACTCGTCTTCAGTCACATTCGTACGACAGCCTCGCTGTGTCTTTTCTATAAATACTTTCATAGTAATTGCTCGGATAAGTTCTTTGTCTTTTCTTTCTTTTTTTTAAATTTAAGCAAAGATGGAGACTGAACTCGAGATATCATCATTTTACAGTTGAGCAGGCTAATGTAACCGTAAGTTCTATGCAAATAGTTTCTTTTCTCGCAATTCTCGTGGAACTCCCTTCTGGTTCTTTTCAGCCAACTTCAGTGTGCAAAAATTTAAGTGCAATGTCAATCGCTATCTACTGTCTTCCAGATTACTCTTTCCTGTTCCTGCACATGAGTTTATACAGATTATATATATATATATATATATATATATATATATATATATATATATATATATATATATATATATAAACTGATATATGCATATACATATATATATATACAGTGGGTAGCAAAAGTATTTAGCACATTGGTTTTTCTTACATATCTCAAAAAATAACAGATCAATTTCAACGAAACTTATAGGAAATATTTAAACGAACATTGTCGATCAAAACATAGAAGGAAAATTTAAGATTTTAAATACTTTTGCTACCCACTGTATATGCTTATATATATATGTATATATGAAAACTGATATATATATATTTATATATGAAACCGATATATATATATATATATATATATATATATATATATATATATATATAGATGAAAAGAATATATATATGTGTGTGTGTGTGTGTGTGCGTGTGTGCTAGATGTAACGGAAAGTTCTATGCTAACAGTTCTTTACTCGCACTTCTCGCTTGTGGAACTCCCTTCTAGTTCCTTTCCAGATAACTTTAATGTGTAAAAATTTAAGTGCAATGTCAATCGCTCTCTACTATTCCTGTTAACGTTCTCAGCTGACATGAAGTGAAAAGATTATATTGATTACTGTTTCCTGTTTAGAAAAGTTCAACGAAACTTCTTTGTTAAATTTATTTTCATATTTTTCTTCCATTTTCTTTAAAAATCGATAAGCCTGTTCACTGTCGTGCCAGACAACTTTTCTCTCCAGAATCTATCATGTATATATCTATAAGTCTACCTGTGACACTATTTAGGGTTGCGTGAAAAAAGAAAAGGCGAGAATTAAATTAGGTGATAAGAATCTATCACGAAAAGACACTGAGCGATGTTATTTTTTTCTAACAAAGAAAAGTGGTAAAGATTTTATTTTCATTAGCGAAGAACGTAAGATACCGGATTTAATCTGATTTATGTTACGGGGCGGCGAATAAGATATAGCCATCTGCCCATGGCAATAAGGAAAGTTTCAAATTGGCCGAGTGGCCTACGGGACAGAGTGCTAAGAGATAATATTAATTAAGCAGGCACTGACCGAAAAACAAAATGTCCGCTGGACCACCCACAAGATAGATTAAACCATTAACTATCGTCGGAGATAACATGGATTTGAAAGAAAAACACCTGTCTTATTGTCCAAACCTGGACATGATAGAAATTATTTTATCGGAACGGATAATTGGCACCAGGGTGCAAAGTCGCCAGCTGACCACCCACTTGATGCTGGCGAAAATCTCATTGACGAACTCCAGAAGGAGTTCGGTTAAGGTAAGAGTCGTAAGGATTTGTAGACGGGAAGAATAAAATAAAGAACAGAAAAAAAGAAAGGGAAGATAATTTTTTTTTTCTTTGAGCGAGATTTTTTAAACTGAGGCCAGTCCGGCCACACCCACGCTGCTGGGCGTCCATTGGCTGAATGGTGGCGTGAGCGGTAGGCGAGGGTAATCATGTGAAGAAGGAGGGGAGGCCTGTTGACGCCTCTGAAGGGATTGGTATGAGATACCAATATGAGAAAGGAAGAATTTTGGAGGACGATTCCATTAAACTAGAAATTAAAGAGTTCCAAAAATGGAAATTGATGGATTTTCCTGACCGAAAACAAAGAAAACCCTTAATGCGGATTTAGAATTATCAAGGAACCTCAAACCCCGACAATCCCACCCCGGTTTTGGTCGGCGTCCATATAAGCAGAGTCGCAACGAGTAGACGGCAGTTCGCAGTTGAGTTTTGCAGTTGAGTTGGAGCTGAGTTCGCAGTTGAGGTGAGTTGAGTTGGAGTCACAGACAGGAAAGCAGTTGCAGTTTGCAGTTGAGCCGCCACGCAGAAAGCTGACTTGAGACCCACGCATTCTCGACCTCAACTTCTAACCAAGGACAATTTATTTTTGAAGAACGACTTAGACTCCCGCCATCAAAACCAGTTTTACGAATATCGCTCGAAGATACACCAAAAACCAGTTTCTTGAAAAAACCTAAGATGTTAAAACTCGCCCTACAAACACAAAGTGTCACGTATCCATATAAGCGGGTTGGGAGAAAGATGCAGTCCTGTATTCAATAACCAGATATAAAATATTGTTATTCCTTTTTAACACATTTGAACTTTTCGAGTTATTACATTATTTTCTTTTACTTATACTTGTGCGGTATTACCCTTGTTCGGACTCGACTTGCATTACGGCCCGGCGACTGATTGATTTCGTCTACCTAAGATCAAAACACAACGTGGGTAGGTTAGACTAGAAATCAAAACAGTTACTTCGGTAACCAGACGTTGGAGGCGAGCTGGGAACAAGGCTGATGCCGAATCTAACCAGATTCCCATCCGAATCAGCAAAAGGTTAGAACGTCACATTTGGCATCGCGACCAATACCAAGCCACATTGGTCGTCACAGGACAGGATAGGACGGCGACGGCGCGGAGACAGCCGGGGTGACGTCACATACCTTTCGTCAATGCTTAGAATATTGCTGCCACAGTTTGCCCCTGTTATTTACTGTGAGCCACTTGGCAAAATCCAAAGAAGAATCAGCAATATTATTGGCCCTGATCTGGCGTCTCGGCTTCAGTATCTTTCCCACCACCGTAATGTTAACTCGTTGTGTATTTTCTACTTTCATGGTAATTGTTGGGATGAGCACTTTGCTATGTTACCGAGACTTTTAAATTTAAGCGCAGTACGAGACTAACGACTAGATCTCATCAATTTACAGTTCACCTTTCTAGCTGTAACAGTAAGTTGTATGCTAACAGGTTCTTTTCTCGCAATACTCGCATGTGGATCTCTCGATTTTATGCGTTCCAGCCAACTTCAATCTGCAGTAATTTAAATGCAACGTCAATCTGAAGGACAGTAGAGGTTTGGTTTGCTGTGTTTTACGGCATATCAACCTCAATGGGTTATTTAATGCCGACAACTTTTTTCCTGGTAATATTTTTTTTTTCAAAAATATATTGCTGGTAATATTTTTTTTTCTTCAAAAATTTATTTCCTGTAATATTTTTTTACAAAGTATTTCTAATATTAAAACCTATTTTTACACTTTTTAACACTTTTATAATGCTCTTTACCTCAGTTTCGGGGTTAATTATTTGCCCATAGCTGGGACCCTAACAAGTGCTACCACCACGGGTAAGGGTGGACCTGGGAACACCAGCAATTAAGAGGTGGTTCCACGCTCCTCAAAACCTCCTGATCAGGGGCCTTGCTGTTGGACGTAGTTTATCGTCTTACCCAGGACGTGGATGTAGTTTATCGTCATACCCAGGACAAGAGGACAGTAGAGTCAATCGCTCTCTACTGTCCTCCAGATTATTCTTTCCTGTTCGTGCACATTATTAATGTTTCTGTTTCTAAGTCTTCGATACCCTGTAATCTCTTGTATCTTTGTGGCTTTACTATATTACATGATTTATACTTATTTAAAAAATCTCTTCTAATCTAAACCACATTGACCTGCAAAATGTAAAAAAAAAACTGGTTAGTTGTCTGGCGTTATAAACTATAAATAAATAAATGTACTCTGCCTAAAATTAATTTAAGTTACGTAATTTTTTTTTAGTTCAAACAGTTAAGCTGAATTTAAAAATTGGTTGCATAAGCATGAAAATGTGTTACGATGGGAGACACATTTCTTCAAATCACGCTCTTCCCAGCTTGTTCTATTTTCTTTAAAAGATGCCGTTACCGAAGCGTAAAATATATCCATATTTTTTTCAAATGAAAACGAGACATATTTTTCTTTCTCAAATTTATTCAACCTACTACGATTATCTATTATTGGCGACCACAATCTTTTGTTATGCAGGTGACATAGTGTTGATAGTAGAAACTGAAAGAAAACTATAAAAACTCTTTCAGAAGGTAGTGAAGGAAAGTGAGAAGAAAAAACTAATCATTAACTGCAGGAAGATAGAATGCGTGGTTGCATGCAAAAGGGCCAGCCCAAAATGCAAATTGCAAATCGGGAATACCAAAATCAAACAAGTACAAAAATTTCAATATCTCGGAAGTTTTCTAATCAGAGACGGAAAGTGTGATATTAAAATCCGAAGGCGCATTGGGATAGCCAAAGATGCCTTCCAAAAGCTAAGCAAAATGTTAAAAAAATGGAAAAAAAAAAACACTTTGTTACGTGATATCTGTTCTCCTATATGGCAATGAATGCTATTGAATCTGCTAGGAATGGTGTCAGAAAGTGTAATGCAAATGTAGAAGAACGTGTACCCGTGTTTTATAAATTATGCAAAAAGTCTTCGATAAAGTACGCCACAACGATCTATTAAAACGGATTAGCAACCTTGACATATTTGAGAAGGATATTAAAATCATCAAGAACCTAGACTTTGTAGCAAACTGCCTGCATACGGATAGAAAATGATTTCAACAGATATACAAAAATAGAAAGAGACGTAAGACAAGGATGTATCTTCTCGCCGGACTTATTCAATCTATATAGCGAAGCGAATTTGAGAGAATTAGAAGTCCTACCAGGATTCATTATTGGTGGTCAGAATCTTAACAACAAAAGGTATGCAGATGACATAATGTTGATAGAAGAAATCCTGCGGGAAGGATTCTTCTTGGATGCCCCGCAGCTCCGTTGTTACGGCCCTGATTTTGTCCTACACGGCGTCAAAATGGATTCCCTTGATGATCCAGATAAGTTTGGGGAAAAGAAAGAAGATCTGGTGAATAGCGGGGTTATTCCAATACGGCAAGATTCTTTTCAGTCAGGAATTACCGGATGCTCAGGGCGTTGTGAGCAAGTGCATTGTCATGGTGACACAGCCACGGCTTGTCCTGCCACAAAAGCATATGAAAAAATGCAATGGTTGTAGAAAGCTATATGGCAATGAATGCTGGTAAATCTGCTAGAAATGGTATGAGAAATTGCAATGCAAATGTAGAAGTACGTGTTCCTGTGTTTTATAAATTATAAAAAAAAGCCTTCAATAAAGTAGGCCACAAAGATCTATTGGAACTGATTAGCCACCTTGACACGACGCTTGACACTACATTTGAATGATAACTCTAACATTTTTAGGCATTTAAAACAACATACCTGGCCGCGTACACAATTCCGGAAAATCCTCGTTGAAAACACAACTATACTTAAACATGAAAACAATAAACAAAAACTAAAAATTCCTGAAGCTATATACATAAAACAGTTGAAACCTAACCTGAACAAAATAAACTACGAAATCTACACAAATATAATTAAATGCCTATAATTGATAATTGAAGCCATTGGTATATACCAACGGCTACCCATACAAAATTGTTCTCGTTTTCACTCTCGCGTGGTCATGTGTGACGTCACGGGCTGCGATGCGATTTTCACTTCCGCGTCTAGTATACACGAGTTTGTCGTTGTTTTGAAATTTTTCATGCAACAAAAACAGACTCTCATTATTGTTTCGTCCGTGTATTGTTTGATATATTGAAAAGTAAATGTCATCTTTGATAATGACTTATGCAAGCCGAAAGCTTAGATCGGATTTAAACATGTACCAATATGGTGATTTTCTTTCGTCTTTTAATGATAATGTTATTAAGCTTATCAGACAATATGAAAGGAACTTACTTAAAATAAATAGACAAAACTTGTCTATATTATTTAATGAAACATGTATCAATGAAAAATTGCTGCCTATGTACTATGTGTGTATGAGATTGCGTGAGTGTAGGATTAGAAAAATGTCGAAATGTTATCACACAACTTGTCCATATTATTTAATGAAACATGCATCAATATATATATATATATATATATATATATATATATATAATTTAAATATTACTTTAAACAAAAATCAACCTTGATAATTCCTAAGAGATTAATCGAAAGCGTTCGTATCTACAGACCATTTTGAATGTTTTTACATGCTCTCTGCCCAGAAAAGAAATCACTTGTACGAATTCAAAATAAAACGTCAGTCTTCTTCAATGAAACATCCATAAAAGAGGAATTATTCCCCAAATACACAATTAGACTGTCGCTGCTTCAAATGATTAAACAATTTCAATGTTTCTATTTTGAATATGATCACTTCTTTCCCCAACGCTGTATTTTAACTTGTCAAGTTCCGGAATAAAAAAAATGTTTTGGTTTCCATCTTTCCTTTATTTCCCTCTCTCACTCTCTTTCCTTTTCTCCTCCTCACGTCTATGTCTCTTTCCCTTTCCCCTTAAAAAAAAACAACCTTATAGTGAAATATCTGCCCTTCTCCCCTATTTTCTTTCCTCTTTTAATATTAAAACTTTTTTTTCCTTTTCCTCTTTTCCTTCTCTTCTTTCTCATATTTCTTCTTTTTGTTTTCCTTGTGTCTGAATAAATTGACTCCATTTATTCATGTAAAACTGTTTTGAAGAGATGGACGTTTGAAGTCCACGAAATAAATTATAACCTGACTAGATGGAGTTTTAAGGATTCTCCATACAGTATATATATATATATATATATATATATATATATATATATATATATATATATATATATAAAATTACTATCAATTTCTTGAATAAAAAAGATCCTTATATTCGAGTTGTTTTCAGATGGAAGACACTTGCCAAGTACTTTCCACAATTTGAAATTGTCATCTTCAGTGCGAAATTTTTCACATACATCGGTAAAATCTAAGACGAAATATGTTTAGACCGAAAGGTGTTTTTTTTTTAATTATACTATTTATTGACAATTTGAAATTGTCTAATGTACTTGGCAAGTATTTTTCATCTGACAACAACTTGAATATTAGGATTGCATTATTCAACGAATTGATAATACGTTAATGTCACATTAAGTCTTGTTAGTGAAGTGATTTCGATATTAATCACATTAACATTGCTATTTAATTCTTTGAACAAATTGTTTCTTTATGATTATATATATATATATATATATATATATGATAAGTGTGTATGTACAACAAAGCAGCAAACCAAATTATTGGTAAAAGCCATACAAGGCCTGCCATGTGACTGTCGAAAATAAAAAAGTAAAGTAAAGTAAAAGCAATAAATCAAAATCCCAAGACAAAGGAAAAGGAAACAACTGAAAAGAAGATGATTCAAAGACAGACACCTGCCTAAAGAGTAAAAGACTGTGCGCTGTGACTAAATAAACAAGATGCCGTAAATACGCTGGCCAATTACAAAGAGACAAATTTCGAACCGCTACTTAAGTTTAAACTACCGTGATCGTCAGGCAACCAGAACGTTCTGCTTTCCTGACAATCGTGTTAACATGAAACTTTATATATATATATATATATATATATATATATATATATATATATATATATATATATATATATATATATATATATATATATATATATATATATATATATATATATATATATATATATATGCATTCTATGTCAAAACAATTTACAATATATTTCGAGGGCGAAATCGCACACAAATCCAAAAATATTTTACAATTAATAACGCTATTCGGTGATTAATGCGAGTTTTAATTTCTTGTGACTGACAATACGTTCCTGATACACAGTTTATTTCCCTCTCCCGCCCATTCTCTCCCTCTCCCTCTCTCTCGTTCACATACTCTCTCTCTCTCTTTCACACAATGTCTCTCTCTCTCCCTCTCTCTCTCTTTCTTTCACATACTGTCTCTCTCTTTCTCTTTCTTTCACATACTCTCTCTCTCTCTCTCTTTCACACACTGTCCCTCTCTCTTTCTCTATCTTTCACACACAGACTCTCTCTCTCTCCCTCTCTCTCTCTGTGGATAGATAGATTGATACTGTGTGGGAAATTGAAATCAGCATCAGAACAGTGTGTAAATATTGCTAAAATAAATTAATATCTTTTTAATGTGATAAAATTAGAAGTTGACGACAAAGAAGTAAATGGACTGAAAAATGCATCGAGGCGTGGAAGTGTCAGGCACCATGCACTGCTGATTCCCAGTGTCTAAACTCTCTATCTTTGACATTTAGAATTCTCTCACTACAAAACATATTGAATGTTAAGCATACTACCACATATACACGTATATACAAATTAAAATAACACCTTTTTGCGTTATTTAAAAACTTAACAGCTTCTTTCATGCTGTGCGATTTTCAAAATGGGTGTTTCTGTTTTCAGAGTTCCATAATTCTTTTTCGTCTTTTACAAAAAGAATGATCAAGTGTGCCGACAGTTCGAAATAATTTAATTCCTATTGTTTATTAATAGCTTCGCGTTCTTGAAGTCTTTAATTTTCAATTCATCTTTTATATATACCCCTTTCACTGTCGAAACTCCTAAATGTAGCCGTCTTTTCTACTCCAGTAGCCTCATGCCTCGCACCTGTGGAACTCCCCTCCCTATTCCTGTTTCCCTGATAGCTATAATCTCCAGCTATTCAAATGTAATGTCAATCGACATCTCCAGTTGCCTTGATCTATCCAGTATCCTTCTCCTCATCTTTTTCCTCTATCACTTCTATCTGACCTGACTCCAAATTTTCTGTAACCCCTTGTGTCCTAGTGGCTTCTCGCCTTGCTTGGGGTGAAACGCTTAAAAAAAAATACATTTCAATTTCTACCTGCATTTTTTCATTTTACTCTCCATTCCAATACGTGTTTTGTCAAGATGGTGTTATTTCTATATATTTCATATTTGAATGTTAGCAAATGGTTTATATAACTTCCTTTAAATCTTTTTCCAGTTGCGCCGGTGTCCATCCGCTGTAGCACTGTGCCTCCTTTTGTTGATACTTTCGCTTTATACAATACATTTTCCTCTCAGTAATTTCCTCGCAATGGGCATTTGATTTTGTTCTTCATTCATATTTTGTTTTGTGTTTCAGTATTGTCAGTGTTGCTATTTTTCTATTTGCTCCATATATGCATGAGAAATAGATCATACAAATCACACACAATCACAAACACACACACACACTCACTTATATATATATATAAACATAAATATAAAAGTGACGATTGAAGTCAACACCCAGAGGCGAGAGGCTGTTTCATGCCAGGCGCAATCGTCAGGTGGCCTGACTATTGCGCGTAGTGCTGACTTCAATGTTCATTTTATATGTACATACGCTCTATCTCTTATATTGAGCACTTTATCCCATAAATATAGCACATCTTAAAACTCTCTCTCTCTCTCTCTCTATATATATATATATATATATATATATATATATATACTATGGATGCACAACTCGTTATGTTTCCGTTGCTTATTTAAAAAAACAATTGTTTTTGTTTTTAGAACCTTATATTTTTGCAGCTAACGATAAAAAAAATTCTTGCATAATAAAGAAGGAAAATATGAAAAAAATGACAGAAAGAAAGAAAGAAAGAAAGGAACAAACAATCGAAAAACAAAGAATTAAAGGAAAGAAAGACGAGAAAAATGAGAAAGAAAGAAAGAAAAAGAATCGAAAAAAGAATTAAAGAAAGAAAAAAGAAAAACTAGAAAAATGAGAATGAAAAAACAAAGATAGAATCGAAGAAAGAAAAAACAATAAAAGAAAGAAAATAAAAAAGCATCGAAAAATAAAGAAAGAAACGAAGACTTGAAGAAAGAAACAAAGAAAGACGACAAAAACTCTTCATAACAAATAAAAAAATATAAAAGAAAGGAATAATTAGAAAGAAATAATCGAAGAAAGAAAGACTCGAAAAAAAAACAAAAACAAAGAAAGACGAGAGATAAGCTTACATAATAAAAAAGAAATTATGAAATAAATGAAAAATGAGAAAGAAAGAGAGAATCGAAGAAAGAATGAAACAAAGAAAGGAACAAAGAAAAAAAACGAGAGAAATTATGCGTAATAAACAAGGAAATATGAAAGAAAGGAAGAAAAAGAAAGCAAGGAAGAAAATAGAGAAGAATGAAAAATGCAAGGATTGGAAAAGGAAAAAGTTGGAAAAGCGGGAAAAACGGAAAAGAAAGGAGAAATGAAGAAAGGATAATTTGGAGATAGGGCATTGCTTGTATAATTGTGTGAATTGACAAAGAGTCAGCGAAAGAACGAACAATAAATATGGCCAAAAATAAATCAATATTTTTTAAAACGAAAAAATGTAGTAGTTGACTAAAAAGAAAACGAAAGGATAATCTAAAGCATAGACGTTACGGTTGGCCAGTCTGGTCCTTTTCAAATGGCCACCGCCAACAGGAACGTCCACATCCTTCTGTTTATCTTGGATAGTGATTGTATGTACAAACCCTTAATGTTTGGCTTGTTGAGCAATCCTGACAGATCACACCCAATCCAAGGGATAAGTAAACCAACTAACATATACGGTTTGTGTTATTGATGTTTCATTTTAAGCAGTTTTCGTTTAGGTTTCTTTGCGGAAATAGACACCTTTTGATAGAATGGGGATAGTTTCTTTAGGAATGGATGACTGATCGCAGACTTTTGTAGAATTTTTGTCGAAGAAGGAAAGAATTAAGTTCTACATAATCACTGATATTTGCTGTGCAATAGTCAATATGTAGGGATTATAAATTTTAAAAAATGCAAAAATGATTTTGTATTTATTGCTAAGCTTTTATTCTTTTTCGTTCTATCAACATTTAAATTCTCCACTGGCACACACACACATCTGCACACACACACACACACACACACACATATATATATATATATATATATATATATATATATATATATATATATATATATATATATTATGTATTATTTGTGTTGAAACTTGAATAAAGCATGGAATAATAATAATACAACACAAAATGTACTTAAGCAAAATGTATTGACACAAGAATGTGTACACAATATTTACAGATAGTTTTGGTATATTCTTGGGAAGACCGTTCCTGTAGAATGGGTTGACTTAGTCGCAGTCGGGCAGAGTCTCTGGATTGGATCTCTTGTTACTTCTTCCCTCCGTCTTCCCGGTACCAACCATATTTATATGGTCGGTACTCCACTATGTAAATTAGGTGGATCGTACCACAACAATTTGAATACCTATACTCGGGCAGTGTGAAAAAAATCCGGGCAATACAATTTGTAAATAAAAATATATTTGAACAAAATTTACAGGGAAAAAATTCAGTAAAAAAAGGAAAAGACATCCGTGTGGGTCGAAAATAATCAATCAGTACCTAAATGCCTAGCCAAAAGAAAAAAACACCGACTGAGTAAATAATTAAGTAAAAACGTAAAAGTGCTCAATATATTAAGTAGAGTAAAATATAAATAATCTTACTGGGCTAGAATTTACCCACCAAGTTTCACCTAACGGTTTCTCAGGGTATTACTGAAGAACTGTTAGGTGAAACCTTGGTAGGAAGGTTCTGGCTCACCATATATATATATATATATATATATATATATATATATATATATATATATATCAAATATGTGGTACAGTTCAACTTATATTAGAATGAATCATCCATACAAAAAGTAAATTAGTAAAGTTAATGATATAAAATGGCGAAATCCCTTCGCAACCAATTTTTTAAAGGTGCATTAACCTACAAATCATTCGATGAATGTTATGATCCTTGTTTTTAAAAATTATAAGCTGTATAAGGTCTTTCTTTAATAAGCAAGTACTTTCAACTGTATATTCAGTCATCTTCAAGAATGGAAATTATTTGGTTTTTGGTAAAATTCATGTAGCATCCGAGATGAAAAATGTAAATGCGAATTTATGTTTTTTTTTTTTTTTAAATGTGTTATTGTTAACGGATGACACATTGCTTGCGGATGATAAGTTTGATCCTGTTCGGTAATTTAACTATTTAATAATGTTTTATTAATTCATCCCAAGCAAGACGATAATGCCACTAAGACGCAAGATACTACTGGACATGAAAGACATTCTTAGGAACAGTCATCTTAATTTAGCTTCATCACCATTGCAACTGCTAAACAACTGAAAAGATGAAATAAAATTGATTCTATACTGTACAAATATTATTTCAGTTGACATCCCTCAGGAGGATTGACGTCTTATTTAAGCTTTAATTCTCTGGAGGTAATTTTGTTTACCAAAAAATTTGTTCTTCTATTGCAAGCAACTCTGATTCCCAAACAACAGCATATTTGAAATTCATTTCTGTGTTGTCATTACCCAAACCTAGACAGGAAACAAGATGTACTACTCTATACCTGTTTTAAAAGAATAGAGAGGAGTGTGAACCGAGTGGTAAGTGAACCTATCGACGCCTATTGATTGTTTGTGTAAATAATAATGTAAAAAATAGAGAGAAGGAAACTTAGAAAGGACAAATAAAGTCTCCTGGGTATGACGATAAACTACATCCCCGTCCTTGGAATGAAGATAAACCTCATCCTTGTCCTGGGTAAGACGATAAACTACGTCCAACAGATCAGGAGGTTTTGAGGAGCACGGAACCATCTCTTAATTGCTGGTGTTCCTAGGTCCACCCTGACCCGGGGTGGTAGCACCTGTTAACGTCCCAACTCTGGGCAAAGAGTTAACCCCGAAACTGTGGTAAAAAGCATTATAAAAGTGTAAAAATAGGTTTTAATATCAGAAATACTTTGTAAAAAAATTATTACCAGAAATAAATTTTGAAGAAAAAAAAAAACAATATATTTTAAAAAAAAAAACTTTTAGCAATATATTGAAAAAAAAAAACTTTTACCAGCAATATATTTTTGGAAAAAAAAAACTTTTACCAGCAATATGTTTTTGGAAAAAATAAACTTTTACCAGCAATATATTTTTGAAAAAAAAAAACTTTTACCAGAAATATATTTTTGAAAAAAAACAAACTTTTACCAGCAATATATTTTTGGAAAAAAACTGTTGCCAGCAATATATTTTTGAAAAAAAAACTATTACTAGCAATATATTTTCCAACAATAAAAAAAATTACCAACAATACATGTTTTTTACCAGCTATACATTTTTGGAAAAAAATAAGAAATAGATTTTGACAAAAGGAAAAAAATTTGATTAAATAAGACATTGAGGTTGATATGCCGTAAAACACAACAAACCAAACAAAAACAAACAAATAAAGCGAACAGGATTCAAGCAGATTGGAAAATGACGCTGAAAATAAATCTTTATAGATTGTAATTAACAGGAAAGTAATGTAAGAGACGAAATTATTAGCACAGAATCTGCAATTACAATAGGAACATGAAACCCAGCCATCAATCTCGTAGTAAACGTAAGTTCATGTAGGCGAAGCAACGTTACGGAGGCAGAAAATGATTGAAAACCAAGATGCCAGGTCAAGACTGAAAAAAATTGCAGATGCTTCTTCAGATTTTGTCTATAATCTCAAGATACATAGCAGAAGCTATGATTTTCTAGATTCTGGACAAAATCTTGAATGGTAATGTTTCGATTGGCTTAAAAATATATTTTAAAATTCGGCATACACAGAGATATTACATTACGGATTAATCTATTTACTTCCGTAATCTCTCTCTCTCTCTCTCTCTCTATATATATATATATATATATATATATATATATATATATATATATATATATATATATATATATAAAATATCTGGAAAAACAAAAAAAAATCCTTAAAATGCGATTATGTTGTTTTAATATGAATGAAATGTCGACGTCTGACGTTTCGGTTTAATAACCTTCTTCAGGATTTTTGTTTTTGTTTTTCCAGATATTTTCTTCATTCTGTCGGATTTATATCTATTTATATTTGCTTATCATATATATATATATATAGTATTATTTATTTAAAAATATGATTCCTCCGCTACATTTTGTATCAAGCACTGTTCTTTAAAATTAAAAAGAAAAAAATACTAAAGAACTTCGGATTATTTACCTCACGAGTTCTTTCATATTTCTATATATTTTCTCTCTCTCTCTTTCTCTCTCTCTCTCTTTCTCACACACACACACACATATATATATATATATATATATATATATATATATATATATATATATATATATATATATATGTATCTTTCGATATATGACTGACGAGACATTTTTTCCTATAGTAGTGCCATTTCTTTCTGCGGTAGACTGGTTGCCATCAAGGCTATAGAACCCGGTGTGTCCAGCTATTTACCCATAACTGGTGGGAGAAGAAGAGGATTCATACTATTCCCAAGGCTATTAGCACGTAAGTGAATTTCCGTTATTTATTCGCCATGCGTGAGACACGCACAGACGATCATTTATCTTTCGATACATGACTCACGACGCAGATTTTTTCCCGCAGTAGGTTGCCATTTCTTTATACGGTAGACCGGCTGCCATCCAAGGCTATACAATGCCAAGGGCATTAGCACGTACGTGAATATAATGTATTCGACTAAAATTTCAACTCTACTCTCTTATATATATATATATATATATATATATATATATATGTGTGTGTGTGTGTGTGTGTGTGTGTGTAAGAAATACATGAAACACGATACTGAAATAATGCTGATTTCACTGCCCTTAATTTTTCGTGTGGACGCTCTGTTCGTTATAAGGTTGTCTCACAATTTTCAGTCGGTTGAAAGGACAAGTATTCAGTTCTGCATTTTACCCCTGTATAAATAAAGAAAGAATATACCTTTTGCGTCGGTATACTCAGACATTTCTTTGTGTACTGCTTCAAAAAAGGAATATGGGAAAATAAAGATCTAAAAAGTTTTTAGCATTTAACAGGGAAAATTTGAATACTGAGAAATTTGGCTAAATGCCTGCCGATCAAAAGCTAAATATCATATACGGAGATTTTTACGACTGAGTTGTGAGTTCGATCCTCACTGGGTGCCCACTGCTTTCGGCCTTGTGCTACATCTGAGCTACGCTTTGAAAATCACTATAGAAACGATTATTTAATTGTTAAACACGTAATGAAGTTTCGTGTTTAGGTAAACACTTGGCAAAGTGTGAATATTTGACAGATTTTGAATGTGAAAGCTACAAAAACAAAAGTGTTTCTCAACGCGAAGTCCCTGGGGAGATTGGACGTAGAAAAAATGTTGCCGTAAATTTCTTAAAAGACCTTGGGGGCTACGAAACGAGAATTTCAAATAGTCGGCCCAAGAATATTCGTCAAATCAATAAGACGGGATTTACGGCTTTAAAACCGTCTTCAAAGTCCACGCCTACTTCCACATTTCAACAGCTCGATTAAACTTTGCTGAGAAGCGCTAAACATGGAAAAGTGGAAAAGAGTTTTGTTGTCTGGGGAGAAAAAATTAACTTGGAGGGTCCAGGTGGCTTCTAACGTTATTGGCACGATAAGGATATCCTACTGGGGGCATTTACTACATAATGCAGAGGAGAAGATTCCATCATAATCTGAGGTGCTTATCTCCTTCCAAGGAACAATAGGGCTTTTAGTTACACAGAGGTGTCAAACCGAGGCTGTTTACATTGGCATGTTGGCGAGAACATCCTTATTGACTGTGTGGAAATTGCAGGATGTCTTAGCGGGACAACGCTGAAATATATATCTGCAGGACAAATGATTTTTTCCTGGCGAATAACATGATCCGTTTGGAACAACCAGCGTATTCGTCCGATCTGACAGCGTTGATCCAATGAGAAAACCAGTCAAGATAACCGAAGGTTGTGTGTAGCAGTCATATGAATAGAGATGAAATGAGAGAGAGAGAGAGAGAGAGAGAGGGGGGGGGAGACTTATAATTGACACCCCGAAAATAAAGTCAGTTTTTATTTCCTTCGAATTTGAAACCGATAAGGCAATACCGTGCCAATAAAATAAGCACTACCATCTCCCTTATCGCTTGTGACCATCCATCACAATAGTAAAAAAAAAGTATTTCAGCACTAAAGCAGAATTAGTCAAATAAAGATTCATAAGCTTGTACTTATACATTATTCGGACTATTGTCCTCATCTTTGTCGCCATATTTATTACAACGTTTCGGCCGTTCAGGTGGTAGCAATGTCGAACCGAACCCTTTATTTCGCTCACTGGCGTAGACTGTTCTAGTTCCATGTGCCATGTTTAATGGATATCAGTTATTTCCTGTTAATTTCCCTCTGAAAGTTCTCCACTGCCTTAGCCGGTTATTGAACTCACACTCTTTGGGTCCTGTCACTGGATCTAACTAACGCCTTCATCCACTGTGCCACCTTGATGACATCTGTGTGTGAATTTCTGTGTATTATAAACTAATATCTTCAGTAACAATTTTTTACCAGAATTCATATTGCAATTTCTTCTTTTTTTATTACCAATTTTCTCTGGTACTACTTATTACTGGTTCCCTTACTGTATTCATTTCTATGCTTGGTCGGCTCAGAAGATTTTTGTGGTCTAACATACGTGCTGATTCCTTAAGTTTACGAATTTTTCAATGGTGTTCTTTGTCTATGATCTCAACCTGATCCCACAGAGGGCGGTAATGTAAGTAATGTACATAATACCTCATCTCAGAAATATAGACAGATGCTTGTACTTACAGTTGTTACTATATTGGTGAACTCTCCCTTTGCACTGAAGTACGAGTGTCAAGCAGCTCAGTTCCTAGGAACCGACAGCCCAGACACCAGTATATATGATTTGATTATAGTTGTTAAGGCTTTGAAAAGAACCAACCACACTTCTTGAAGTGTCGAATACAGAGACCTGGTGCACAACGTGCTACAAGGTCCCCAAACGACCCTAAGCAGGTTTTGAATTCAGAATTGTCCTTCTAGACTAGTCGCCATCCAAGGCTATAGAATACAGTCTGTACAACTATTTAGCCATAGCTGGCGGAGAAAAAGATTAATACTTTTCCCATAAGTATTAACACGTAAGTGAATGTAATGGATTTGACATAGAATTTGAAATATCTTAAAACTGAGTCACAAAATGGCGTTCAATGTTTATTTTCATTAAATAGAGCAAATTCTCTTTACAATTGGAATTACTATACCTTTAGTAAATGACCATTTTCACCTACGAGCTGCTTATATTTATAAATTATTAGTATGATATCTATCTATCTATCTATCTATCTATCTATCTATCTATCTATCTATCTCTCTCTCTCTATATATATATATAGAGAGAGAGAGAGAGACAGAGAGAGAGAGAGACAGAGAGAGAGAGGATAGCGTCTAGCATGAAACAGCCTGTCACCACTGAGTCTTGATTTCAATGTTCACTTTTATATTTATACTCTCTGATGTTGAGTATTTTATCCTATAATATAGCACACTTTAAAATCATATATATATAAATATATATATATATATATATATATATATATATATATATATATATAGTCTGTCCTGCTATTTACCCATATCTGGAAGGAGAAAAAGAGGATGTATACCCCTCCCAAGTGAATGCAATAGAATTCGAAATCGGCTCTCCGATAACTTCGTCCAAGCGCGAGAGCCAGTCGATATAGAGGATTACGTTTGGTGGCTATTTGTGTGTATTGGTGTGAAAGACAATGGTTAACCCCGGTCTCATACAAGCCAAGACTGTAGTGTTCACCGGTCACTGTTACAATATTACAAATACAATAACAATTACAAAAAATACATTTTTTTACATAGTAACCACCAGTGACTTTGAATGTTTGCCAAGGGTTATCGACCGTAATCATCTGACAGTAAGCTCAAAGTCTGCACCAGCGAATCTGAGACATTGTTTTTAAATAAAAAAAACTTATCCCCCACCCGACTGTTCTAAAATCAACTGTTTATTTTCGATAAACGCTGAACATTCGTCAACAAATTTCAAGTAGTTTTTACTTTTTTTTTATTTTTTTTTTTTTTTTCGCGTGGTATGACTGAAATATATACTTGCATTTCGGATGCATTATCATATCAGATGCCTTTTTCTAGATTGTTCTTCAGATGCAATCTATAGCAAGATTTAAATATATGTGTTATAAGGTGGTAGTTTTAGAAAGCATTCCCTTCTGGTATCATAACCCAAACTATGAAGTAAAAAGTAATAGGTTCGTACTGATCAATTAGATAGATAGATAGATAGATAGATAGATAGATAGATAGATAGATAGATTTAAAGAGATATGATAGATAGTTGTAAAAAGGTGTCTGATAGCTAGCTAGCTGGCTAGATAATTAGATAGATAGATAGATAGATAGATAGATAGATAGATAGATATGTGTAATGATAGATAGATAGATAGATAGATAGATAGATAGATAGATGATAGATAGATAGATAGATAGATAGATCGATTAAAAGGGTGTAGATAGATAGCTAGCTAGATAGATAGATAGATAGATAGATAGATGAATGAATAGATAGATAGATAATGATAGATGATAGATTTAAAGAGATATGATGATAGATAATGATAGATTTAAAGAGATATGATAGATAGATAGATAGATAGATGTAAAAGGTGTGTGATAGCTAGCTAGCTAGATAGATAGATAGATAGACAGATAGACATATAGATAGATAGATAGATAGATAGATAGATAGATAGATAGATAGATAGATAGATATGTGTAATGATAGATTTAAAGAGATATGATAGATAGATGTATAAAGGTGTGTGATAGCTAGCTAGCTAGCTAGCTAGCTAGATAGATAGATAGATGAGTTGCAATTTATATTTCTTTAAAAACTTAGCAGCATTTAACCAATTTTGGTTAAGGTTATAGTAGAAACCTTGGAAATCTTTCAGTTCAAACAGTGCATAGCAGAGTGTTAATTGGATTTCAATTTGATTGAAATGTCAACGAGTTCCGCCACCCCAAACAAAAATATTCAACGCAAAAGGGTATCCAGATAAACATCACTCACTCATTTTCTCCGTATATTTTTCTTACTCTCTCTCTCACTCATTTTCGCTCCCTCACAATCTCTTTCTATTTCTTTCTTGTTTTCTTTCTTTCTTCCTCTCTTTATTTTTCAGCAAACATATATAATAAAGAACGTTTAGAAATGCAATTGATAAAATCTAGCCAATCGAACGCCCCCAGAACTTGTTAAGAGAACAGATTACCAAAAAAAGAAATCAAAATGAATTCCCATATGGAATGATATTTCAGTCTTTGGAAAAAAAATCGCCTAAAATCAATACTATGAGCGTTTGGAAAACAAAACCAATGAAAATTTTTGGAAAATTAAGAAAATATTTTTTTTTGTTTTAAGTGTATGTATGAATATTCATAAATAATTTAAAAGAAAATAATTATTTTAAAATGTTTAACTATAAAAAAAAAAGATCTTTTTTCTTTGGAATCGTGGAATGTTCTCATCTGGACTTTTGGCTGTCAACAAGATACCATGTCATGAGAAAGCGGGTTGATTTTGAAAGAAAGAAAGAAAGAAAGAAAGAAAGAAACAAACAAACAAACAAACAAACAAACAAACAAACAAACAAACAAACAAACAAGAATTAAAAAAGAAAGGGAATTATATTTTCGGAAGTAGAAAAATACATTGAAAGAGACATGAATAAATTGAGAAAGAAAGAAAGAAAGAAAGAAAGAAGAGAAAAGAAGAGAAAAGAAAAGAAAAGAAAAGAAAAGAAACGAAACGAAACAAAAAAAGGCAAAAAAATGAAAAATAAATATACATCCGGAGGGAGACACAGTCATAAGTTGAATTTTGCTCAGTTTTATGATACTTAAATTGATAGAAATTATGGGAAAGCATTAAACTTATTAACAGGGAATAACATTATAACAAAAATTTATATTTTTTGAGTAAAATAAGTGATTTTCTTATTGATTTACCGGTGGTGGTGGTAGTGTTGTTGTGTGTGCGTGTGTGTGTGTCTGTGTGTGTATGGTGTATTTATGTATCTATTCATCTCTCTGTGTGTGTGCAGAAAGAGAGAGACCAGAATCGACCTCCGATAAATATTGTGAAGTTTAATTACTTCCGATGCAATAATATATATATATATATATATATAGGAGAGTTATTTGTTAATAAAAAATGTTGTTTTCTTTATTTTTTTAATAAAAATATTATTTAAATTTTCAGGTAAAAAAATGCGTGTCGATAATCATACGCTTCGGAATAATCATTTAAAAATGTTATTGTTGAATTGTTATGTTACTTTTTACATAATAAATATTATTTAAAAACCGAGAGATAATTATGCACTAACCATATATATATATATATATATATATATATATATATATATATATATATATATATATATATATATATATGGTTAGTGCATAATGCTGACAATATCATGTTACGAACAGAGGAACAACGAGGAAGTTTCAGAGATTAACAAAACATAATTGGCGTAGTTAACTTACAGTAAGAGAAAATTGGAATGTCTAGCGCAAATAATGAGGAAAGACCATTTGGAAAAATTGATACTCACAGGACAGATTGAAGGCAAGAGGAACAGATAAAAATAACCCCTAACCTATCTAACGAGCTTGAGTAAACTTTTTTATACCAAACAAGACGATAAGACGCAAGGAGCTACTGGGAGTAATATATATATATATATATATGATTTAGAAAAGTGGGAATACGTCGCCAAAGATCGTTCATCTGGAGCCATAGTTCTCACCCGTGCCGATTAACCCAGGCTATATATCCTTCTGTAACAGCCCCGCTTCTACTGGTTTAGACATGTACACCGTATGTCAGATGGGAGGATTCCTAAGGGCCTTCTGTACGGGGAAATGGCCATCGGCAAGAGGTGGCCTCGTCTACGCTTCAAGAACGTTTGTAAAAGGATCATGATGACGATGGACATAGACATATGGGGAGACGTAGCCAACGGTCGTTCACGCCGGAGACGCGATGTACACCAAGGGACGGAGCGAGGAGACGAGAAATGAAGTCTTGCCGCCGGGGGAGAAGCGTACTCGATGGAAAGAAAATAACAAATGGACATAAGTGGCGTGCGACTTCACATGCCTTTATTGCAATCGAGACTGTCACTTGCGTGTGGGCCTGTACAGCCATAACAAATGCTGCACCGCCATCAACAACTGAGGCATAATTCTTCGGACTTAGATCCCAAATCTCTCGTGGCCGACGGGTGCCACAAACATATCGAGTGAAAAGCTTGATCTGGATCAATATTTCTCACCTGCGCCCATTAACCCAGCCTATATATCCTTCTCTAACAACGCCGGTTCCGTTGGTTTAGACATGTACACTGTATGCCGGATGGGTGGATTTTCAAGGTAAAAACGAAATGAATTTATTGAAAATTTTTCTGAAAATTAAAATATTAACACAATATCCTTTTCTAAATTATTTTAGTTGCTAAAGTCATTTTGTTTGTTGTTAATAGTTACTTTGTTTTCAATAAATTCATTTCTTTTTTGGCTTGAAAAAATCCACATTGGACGAAACGCATTGGCTAATAATACAGTTTTGCCATTGTCTTTTAGCTTTATACATATTTTCTTTTTCTACACGTTAACTCTGAGAAATTTTTCATATATATTTTATATATATATATATATATATATATATATAGAATGCAGGGAGATTTGGATTCATGTCTTCTCCAAAGGTATTAACCGTAAGAAGACAACAGCGGCTTTAGGCAAAATTTGGATGTTGTAGATTTTCAATATTGGCAATTTTTATGTCACAGAAAACCTCCATTTAGTACATACATAGCATTTAGAGAGATGTGGATTCGTGACTTTTTTGTACAAAGTGGGCATCGACAGCTTTGGCTGAAATTTGGATATTGTAGAGTTTCTATACTGATAATTGCTGCGTTACCTGAAGCATCTATTTAATAATACATACATACATATATATATATATATATATATATATATATATATATATATATATATATATATATATATATATAATTCAGGAGGTGTGGATTCAAGCTTTTTCTTTGGTATTAGTACACAGTAAAAATCTCCAGCTTTAGCTGAAATTCGGAAATTGCAGTTTTTCTCTACTGATCATTCATATGTCACCTGAAATCTCGATTCAGTACATTTTTAAAGCATATCAGCAAACGCAAGGCGGGTGTTAAAGAGAGTGAGAGCAAGAGTAAAGAGGGGTGTTTGGAGAAAGGATTAAGAGAAGGATAGGGATAAAGATCAAGGCATCAGATAATGACGATGGGCATTAGATTTATATATTTGAAGATTTTAGCTATCCGGGA